GGTAGTAATTGAACTAATTCTTTTATTTCGCAAGTAATTAGTTAAATTTTCTTAAAACAAATGCTGCACTCCCCTGAGTAGATGGGTCATTATGAGGTTCGTAAACATATGTGCGAAATCTGGAAGTATCGAAAGAAGACCGTATCATCGAGATCCGTATGCTATGTCTGATTAAGTCACTACTGAAAATTAGAGTTTTAGAGACAAAACATCGCTTAATGATTTGGGCCCTTATACCGACTGGTAGTCTTTTCGCACAGGAATTGATCAATTAACCGGCCTTAATTGACGACATTCATTCTTAATCGAATTGAAATCGTGTTGAAACTGGTATGCAACTCGGGTTATTGTTGTCCACACTGTAAATTTGATTTAACTCTGCCGGTTGTTGTCCAGACTGAAAATGTTTTTTTTTTGCACTGAAAAAATGGCAATCAGCTTATGAGTTTTAATTATTAGAAAAAATACAAATTGAAGAATGCAAGCAAACTCCAGAAACAACTGTTAGGACTCGTCGAACACTATTTGCTTTCATGACCGCTCTCAGTGAAGTCCAACAGATTTGTTCTAGCTTAAATTGAGCCTTTATAGAAATATCTAGGCAAAATGGATTGACTATCCATTTAAATTGCCTTTGAATATTGTCAAGAAAAATGACAAAAATTTCATGCTCGAACCACTGTAGTGTACAACGAGGAAGAAAAATTCCGCCAAATAAACAAAATAAAGGAATATATACATGTGTATGTGTGTAAGTGTGTTGTTGCACCTGTGCACTTTATATTTGTTGCCATAGGTAACTGACCAGGCATCGAAGCGACCAAAACAGAGAGCATGCAGAGAGCCCAAGCGGACGAGAGCGTTTGTAAACAGTCAACTAAACCCAAAAAATACACTTGAACAACAACGAGAGCCACACATAAATCAAACATTGCACCAAAGCGGAACTATAGTCAAGAATAAACTGATGAATGGGGTAGTAAGCAAGTAACCAGCGTCAAGCTGCAAGCGCTATTTGTGTATGTGTGTGCGGGCATGCAGGTGTATGGGTGTATAAGCCGAATTGGCTAACGTTGGACGCACGTACGCGAGCTCATATGATTCAGTATTAAACTGATATTCAACGGTGCGAGCGGCAAAAAATTGCATCAAACGGAAAAGTGCGGAAAAATTTTGAAAAATCAGAAAAAGCAAAGCCAAAAACAAAAATGTTTTTTTTTTTTTTGTTTGAAATGAAAATACGCAAATAAAGCTTGCTTCCTGCTCGTGTGTGTGTTGTTAGCATAAGGGAGTACATGGAGATTCATATAACTGTTTGTGCGCGCGTGTGTCACGGTCGCAAGTGCGCGAAGCGAAATTTTTTGAAGTGTAATTAAATGAAATGCTTGCCTAGGCAAGAGTTAATTTGCTAAGCGAATTAGCAGCGCATGAGTTGCAAAGTACGAGCTGGTCGGTTGAGAGTGGACTGTTCTGATTAAAAGAATTTTTTATGAAAAAGTTGGAAATTAGTTTAATATACTTACATTAGCATGTCAAGCTTCCAGTTTGCTTGCTAAGGCATATTAACTCAAGGATTAGTGTAAGAGAAGATTGCAAAAACAATTTCACCACTGCTTCCATAAGACAAAGACAAAAAAAAAAAAAAAAAAAAATAAAAACGAAATTTTAAAAAATTAACGCGTAATGATTTTCTGCGGATTGCGGTGTGCTTGTAAACTTGTAAGAAAATACTGACAAATTACAGAACAAAAAAAAAAAAAAAAAAAAAAAAAAAAAAAAAAAACAAAAAAAAGCGAAAGAGCAAAAATCGAAAATGCAATTAAAATGTTAAAGCCACATCAAAGTGTCACTGCGCAAAGTGACGTGAATTTGCTGCTCCAAAAACCATTAAAAGCTCATCAATTATTTAACAAACGCCGTTTTACGTAGCGGAGCCGCCAACGCCGCTCACTTACTCCCCGCCAAACCACTTCATCCACAAACCAATCTGTGTTTAACCACAAATCAAAAAAGCCAACACTTGCTGTCAACATGCTGGCCGAAAATGCGCCGCTCGCCGTGTTGGTTCTGCTCACTTGGTGGGCTGGCTGCTGCCGCGCGGACACTGGCCTGCCGCTCTTACAAATAAGTCATGGTAGGTTGCCCACTTACATACAAATATATATTTCCAGTTACAATAATTATTATTATTACGATTGTGGCATGCGAAACCAAAAATGAAATGAAAATGTGGAATCCGAAAAAAAAAATCCTCAAAAATATATAAACAATTCAATTTGTTTGCACTGCTTTGTTCACACTTGTATTGTTTTTGTTGTTGCGGTCAGAGTTGTTGTAATGGTTGAACGCCTGCTGAACGCAAGGTGGCGAACCCACAGCTGGATTTTGTGACCTCAGCCGTTCTGCGTGGCTGCCCGAAGCAATGACGGCTGTGCGTATGCGCGGTTGCATTGTTCTGGTTAGGCTTTTGTTGCTCTTTTTGTGCGTTGGTCTATGATTAAGGCAATCATAAATGGGTGAAGCGACATATTTCACTTTTAATTTAGCTAAAGTCTGCGATATGTTTAACGAGTAAAACAATTAACTTTTTTTTGTAGTAATGAAACAACACAGTTTTTTGTCTTTGTGCTCTAATACTGTTTTCCAAAATCTGTTTTGTCACTAACGCAAAAAGTATAATACATAAATTTACTGACCTTGCACAGACTTAGGGGTGGCAACTACTTATCTTTAAAGAGTTTGTGTACGGAGGCTGCTATATATATTTCTGGCCTAGGCAACACTAAGTGTTGCCAGATGCAATCTGACATTTCCATTGGAAAGTTTGACATTTTTTAGCACTCAGAACGTTTTGTCATTTAATCATGAATTGTTTTATTTACAGGGAATTAAAAAATTCATCTCGTCCGAAAAATGGAATTAACTCGTAAACATTTTCATGCGATCATTTTTTACAACTTTCGACGTAGATTATCACGACAAGAGTGCATCGATGAACTAAAATCTTTGCATGGCTATGAAGCACCATCCCATAGCACTGTGAAAAACTGGTACAACGAATTCAATCGTGGCCGACGCTCGCTCAAAGACGAATTCCGTGAAGGTCATCCAAAAACAGCCTTTGTGCCAGAAAACATCGATGCCGTACGTGAACTGATAATGCAAGACCGTCATGTAACATACCTTCAGATAGAGGCATGCCTATGCATTTATTATGTAATACCTAACTGAAGCAGCTAGTACCCAGAACAATGTAGGGAAAGTTGAATAGTGTCGATGTATTTCTTTCTCACCTTCTTCCAGACAAATTTGGAGAAATATACCGGCACTTACTTCCTCTTTGGCGACTTAAAATTTTATTACGACATCAAAGCCTTTAAGCCGCTATATATAAATTTAGTATACCCTGAAACCTCATACTTGGTAGTAAACAAAGTTTCAGAGAGCCGAGCAATTCATTTTTAAATAAGAATAATAAATCATAGAACTAAAGAACCGTTAGGTAAGATAAGATATATCTTAATCTAAAACTTACCGATCTAAACGGAGTTAAATCTCCAATAAAATAGTCCTAGAACGGTTAAAATGTGGGTCAGTTCCGGTAACGAAGAACCGGTTGTCGTATGAATTGGGGTGGCCTCCTAGGAGCGTCAAGAGGTTCTTTCTTAACTACGTCGGCGACATAACACAATTCCCCGATCTGACTTCGGACGGAACTAACTACAGATATGCAGTGGCCGCCAATCACAAAAACCTTCACCGACTCTCTCAGTGAATGATGTACTTGGCGTCAAGGCAAAACAGGCGATGAGCTCGAGTTTCAGCGAGAATCGATACTGACCGATATACCAAATATACGTCCATTAACCCCACACATCTGATACCCCTCTTTCTATGTCTGAACTCATCGAAACAGCATGTTTCCTGGATGACAACTTTCCCCGATGACAACTTATCTGAATCTTACCACCCTACAGGAACTAGATAACCATTTCAAGAGCAAAAATAACAAAAATATCTTATTATCGTATACAAATTCGTCACCTTGAAGTTTTGGCTCATCCAAAACACTTAAGTAATATACGGCTGGTTATGAATACAATCGTTCTCATGCAAATCCAGAGAGACTAAAAGCCAACACTGTTTGAGGCCATTATAACTGTATATGCTTTTGAAAGTGCATGCTAATCTGGGCACTTGATGCACAATGTTTTATATTTAAGTCTACTTGAAACTATTCCATTATAAAGCCTAGGCTTGGCTATAAGACCAATTCGTTCAAGTTAGCAGCTAATTATCTACATAATACAAGTCCGAAAACAAAAATATGTTTACCGCTTATTCATTTACAAATACGAACATATGAATAAACTAATTTATAATTCAAATAAACAATCATAACAAGTAAGGAAGAGCTAAGTTCACGTACAACCGAACATTTCACACTCTTACAACTTGCCATGAAGATATTGTACTTGGTATGAGGCTGTAAGTTATACGGGGTCCACGAAAAGCTTTCCCCAATTTTATTCATTCTATGCACGAAGATTCACCGTTATTAGAAAAACATGCTCTTTCTATTTTTATTAAGAAAGCTGACATATTAACCGATATATGGGATATAAGTTCACTCGGAAATTCGAAAATCTTTATTTTAGGTATATTTAGGCTCAGGGAAGTGTTAAACCAACCAACTTCCATTTTCATTTTTATTCAAGTTACAGCTTGCACAGACGTCTCGTTATACAGATCTTTTATGTACATATAACGCTATGTCTATCTCGATTAGTTTTAGGTGACACGAACAACCGTTAGGTGAACAAAACTATGTATTATACTCTGTAGTAACATGTTGCAAGAGTATAAAAATGTACATATGTAGTATGTGCAGACATACTGCGCTTGATGGTCGCATGTTCTATTCGCTTTTTATGCGTTTTTGTTTATTTTGACATATGTTCAAACATTAATAAATAATCGAATTAATTTCGAGAGAAGTTGGCCAACAAATGTGGTGTTAAACAACTCATTTTCGTTATTTTGTATATTTGGGGCAATCGATAAAATTAATAATTATACGCAAAATATAACCAAATCTAAGAGTGGAAAACCAATGCTTGTCACATGCAAACATGAAAACGAAAATAGATTTGATTGCAATGCGATTTAATTGTTGTTATATCGATGTATGGTTATCAAAAAAGTCTTGCCATATTTTTGCGATATTTTAATTGAATTTTCAATTGCTCACAAAATTTTTTTTGATGACTCATGCCCAACTCTTGACCGATGCTACGGCTGCTACTATGACGGTCTCTTTCGACCAATTCAGCCATTTTATGGTAATTTTCGACGACAGACCTTCCGGAGCGTGGCGCATCTTCGACCACCTCTACACCAGAACGAAACGTTGAAACCATCGTTGTGCGGTGGAAATGGAAACTGTATCGGGTCCATAAACTGCACAAATTTTATTGGCGGCTTGAGTTGCATTTTTGCTTTTATCGTAGTAGTACTGTAAAATATGCCGTACTTTCTCTTTATTTTGCTCCATGTTTGCGACGCTATAACTCACGAACGACTTAAAAGAAACGACAATAAATCAAATACGTCTTAGCGCGTGAAATGAGCTTTCCAAAAAGGTATAGCATGACCCGATGCGACGAATAAAACTAGAACTACGCGCTCTCAGTGCCAACTAGCGAAAATACCGCAAGACTTTTTTGACAACCTAATATTATAATAAAGTTGTAATAAAATAAGCAAGATTAAAAAGTCTTACAAATAGGATCCCGGAAGTTGTAAATAAAACGCAAATTATTTAATTATTCATCCACATTTTTTCCAGTCTTCGAAACCCTTTTCATAATCACGGTTTGGATTGCCCTTCAGTGAATTTTGTGGTAAAAAAAGTGAGCATCACTTTGATTTTTGAGTGTTTTTTTGTTTTCGACTCGTTTTTTCCCTCTATCTGATGATTGTTGATTTGTTTGAATATCAAAGTCGTAAACTTATCGGCAGTTATAATGCGCTCTAAGGATGTGGGAAAGTGGGACTCACGAAAGGTGTCGAGGTTTCTTGCCGATTTTCAAGCACCATATCCCTCACTCTCAATTAATATTTCATCATTTGAATAGGTCGAAGGTCGTCCAGAGCGAGGCATGTCTTCAACGATCTCTCCACTCTGTCGTAGGGATATGTTTTTGATAAAATTTAATTACCGTAAGCCTTTTTCCACATTCGCAATGATTTCCCACACAAAATTTGGTTAGAAATTTAAAATTTAAGTCAAATTCTTTGTTCGATATTTTTACCCTTGTATAAATCCCAGCAAATCCACTATTGTATAACTCCCAAAGGTGATCTAGCGACCGCTGCCCAAGGCGTATTAAAATTATGGCGGGAACACTTCTCCAGCCTGCTGAATGGCAGTGAACGTACAACGCCAGGAGAAGGCGAACCCGATTCTTCAATCGATGACGATATTGATATCATTGGCCTCAACACACGCGCCGTTAGTTCTGCTTTCTCCAGACTGGACAAGGAAGCAACACAAATGGGTCTGGCAGTGAACGAGGGCAAGACGAAATATCTCCTGTCATCAAACAAACAGTCGTCGCACTCGCGACTTGATTCTCACGTCCCTGTTGACAGTCATAACTTTGAAGTCGTAGATAATTTCGTCTATCTGGGAGCCAGCGTAAACACCACCAACAATGTCAGCCTGGAAATCCAACGCAGGATAACTCTTGCCAACAGGTGCTACTTCGGACTGAGTAGGCAATTGAGCAGTAAAGTTCTCTCTCGATGAACAAAAACTAAACTCTATAAGTCACTCATAATTCCCGTCCTGCTATATGGTACAGAGGCTTGGAAGATGACAAAAACTGATGAGTTGACGTTGCGAGTTTTCGAGAGAAAAGTTCTGCGAAAGATTTATGGTACTTTGCTCGTTGGTCACGGCGACTATCGCATTCGATGGTACGATGAGCTGTAGGAGACATACGACGCCATTGACATAGCTCAGCGATTTAAAAGACAGCGGCTACGCTGGCTAGGTCATGTTGTCCGGATGGACGAAAACACTCCAGCTCGGAAAGTATTCGACGCAGTACCCACCGGGGGTACAAAAAT